TCAAAAGTTTATTTGAACGTGCACGTTAGATAACATTAAAGACACTCCTTTAAAATTTGGCCATCATCTTTAATGTTATTAACTTGGTGAATTGATTTCATTGTGTATTAGGCTTTTTGAACAAGATTCTGTGTATAACCGTGATCATTTTGGTCACTATATTCATGAAATGGAAATCATTTTTCATTAATGATCAAATATAATTACGTGTTTTTACAGTAGCCTATAATATGCAAAGTACAATTTTCTATTACAAATAATCTCTGATTCTGTCCTTTTCTCTGACATTTAAGAGTGACATAGGCCTACAAAAGCTATTTTAGGTCTAAAACAGTTTGGATAGTTGTTAATATGAGAGCTGTTAGAAAATTATTTAAGTGATAAGTATTGTGTTACTACTGACCGCCACTGACTGAGGTCCTACATTTGAGGTTGTTAGGGGGTTAAACATTTTCTGATCCACATATGTGCATTTCACGACGTTTGAAGGCCAGAATAAGATATAGCTTTAAAACCATGTCAGCGGGCAGGTAGATTATCTGTCAATACCTGCTTCTCTCCTCTCCTCCATCACTCTTTCTCTCTCTCAGGCTGCTCATCTTGCCCTGTCTCTTCCCCTCCTAAAGCTGAGCTTTTATAATGTACTGAAGGCTACAAATTACATTATAATATCAATCCTCAATACACATTCATATTAACCCTGTGCCTGATATGATGAAAATGGCTTCGTTAATGCTTTTTGTCCCCTCACAATGACAGTAAACGAATTATTACATTACATGAGTTACATAGTTGCATAGGCCTATTTTCAGTTACAATGGCGAAATTAGACAAAAGTTTATTAGTTTGCCTGATTATTTCTGCCAGTCTAACACTTATGACCGTAAAAACAGCTGTGAAATATGAAATGTTTAGTTCAGCTTTACATCTTATCCGAAGCGTCGAGTCGCGCCTCTAAACTCTGCAGCGACTGTGAACATAGAGCCCGCCTACTTGGATCTGATTGGTCATCTCAGATATTCTGCCATTGACGGCAGTGCCAGACCAATGCCGGCTCAGGTGAACACACACACACACACACACACACCTGTCCTGTCTCTGACGTGCGCTCGGTGCGGGAGCCGAAGCCTGTGTCATGTTTCAGGGGGACTGAAGCGATCACGAAGTTAATCACACATTTTAAGGGGGCTAGGCAGAAGTTTAGGACTGAACCCCTTCTACAAAGGGCCTAGTGACGCCCATCTACACGGGATAATTCACAATATTACTCGTTTTTTGTATTTTTAATCAGATAATGAATTATTATTATTATTATTATTATAAATCAGGGGTTTCTGCAGGGTTTAGTCAGTCAAATTTAAGACTTTTTAAGACCTTTTTATGACTATTATGATTTAAATTTATGACCTACACGAATTACGAAAAATAACTTCCTTCAAAAGTCTTTTTTTATTGACTTTCATTAAAAGTAATAAGTTTCATTATTTAAAGGTTCCATTTTCTTAAGAGTAATAAACTGAAGGCTCCCTTTTCCTAAGTATCAATAACACAGGACAACACTAAATCATCACGATAATATATCAGTCAATATCGATAATTAATCACGATAAATGACAAATCTTTATTTCTTTCAAGTTTAAAGGCAGATTTTTGCTCCTAACTGAAAGTTGTATAAACCAGAGCGTTAATTGTGGTTTTAAACTACTCTTTATTGTCAGAACATATCATGACAAACACTTGCCAAACAGGAGAACATTTCACAAATCTGAGGTAGAACATTCAAACATGTGTCATTTTTCCTTAACAAAATTAATATCTTTATTGGAAAATTAATTTCTTAGTTTCTGCATGTGCTAATGGGGGATATTGTTTCAAGTCTTGAAACAGGTTTGTGTTGCCTGACTTTGATGGCACGTATCTTCATGAAATGTATGAAAAACAGTATAGCTAAATACATAAATACTGTAATTATATTCCATTAGTCCTTTAATACATTGTCTACATTAATAATATAATACAATTCAATATGTATCCCACATTTCATGGTGCAGTTAATATACTAGGCTAACGTTACAGTAAATCCATGGTAATTATGGGGAATTTGTAGATGGAAAAGCTTTCTGACTGTATAGTTGCGCACTGTTTCTCCTGTTTGTCAGCGCTATCATCTGCTTAAACTGGTTTAAATCACTGACATATTTGTGTTCTTCGCTGAACTCTTGGGCTTCTCACTGGATCTCGTGAGCGAGGATAATCAGTCCGCGGTTTCAAATGAGTTTCGTTCCGCTTTTGGCGCATAAACATTATCGAACATTTATCGAACTCTTGATATCGTTTTATAGAGAAAAATTATATTGCGATAATGAATGAATGAGCATATCAATTTAAGACGTGGCTAAATGTAATTTATGACCTTGTATGGAAAATCCAGACGTTTTTATGACTTTTTATGGCCTAAAATTCTTATTATTAAATTTAAGACGTTTCATGACTTTTTATGACTCCGCGAAACCCTGATAAATGCAGCCTTGGTGAGCAGAAGAGACTTTAAAAATCTTACCCATCCAAAACTTTGAAAGGCAGTGTACATTAAACACATAACATCACTATTTCTAGTAAATTCAAAATGCATATACTTTCCAAGCAGCTTTAGAGAAAATCATGATATTAATGCATGAAACATCCTAAAGTGCTTTAAAATCTGTTGCTGACGAGGGTTTAGTCCAGTTTTAATAACAATCCAGATTTAATCTCACCATGTGGGTGGGCGGAGCTTCTTCCTAATGCCCAGATACACTCTCAGACACTTGACGGGCCACTCTCTCTCGGGACGATTGCTCTGAAGAGAGAGAGAGAGAGAGAGAGAAATAAACCTACTAAAACACACACACACACACACCAAGAACCCAAAACTAGAGGAAAACCACCACCTGAGAACCCAGGACAACACAGACCACTAAACCTACACACACACACACTTCTATATGGTGCGAATAATAATGAGCACAGACACCAGAACCCTAAAGGAAGCTCATGAGGACGGCAGTGCACTATATCGAGGTTAACCCGCTCTCACACACACTCTCTGTACTCACACACTGCAGCTCTGGCCTCTGCAGCTTTTGCAGATTCTGTGTATGAGAGTTTCACAGTAAAGCATCACACACACACACACACATACAGTATTCACATGCTCGTCAAACCCTCTGGCGCTCTTCGGTCATTTTTATTTTTTTTATGTTTTACTTCATGGGAATGGTACGAAACTTGGTTAAGGTTTTGGCACTTGCTGTGTGAACACACAAATAATCATGGACACGAACAGGTTAATCTGTGCTGGAAAGCTTGCCCACATTGGAAATAAATGAGAGAGTTTCCTCTAGTGGTTGAACGACTTCAGATTATTGATATAGGAGCTGTGTATAAGTCGACTGTTATGACATCAAGTCGAGTCGCTGACGTCATTCATACAAACACAAGAGATGGGACCGCTTTGCAACATGCCACAATGTGCAGTTTATTAGCAGAAATGATCAGGGTTGGGTACCGAAACCGGCACCGGTATGGAACCGGACCGAATCAAACGCAGATTTGGGTTCCTCATTTGTGTGCCAGTTAAACGCCTCAGCGGTCTGTTATATCTGGCCTCTGGCGCTCCGAAACAGAGACGCAAGCATCGCCACCGCATGTGATCGCTAGTTCACCCCTTGACACGTACGAGCGGTCACACCGTTGTGCTTAAAGGACAAGTTCGGTATTTTACACT